TTGTCATCCCATCCCCTCTGTCCCCCCAGCACCCTGCTGCAAAACCTGGAGAGCTGTGCCAGTGACCCCGTGGCTGTGGCCGTTTGCTTCGTCACCCGGGTAAGGATGGGCACACTGGGTGACACTGGTGGGGGGAGTGGTGGTGGCATGGGGCTGTGCCAGGCTCTCACCACGCTTCCTCTGCCTGCAGAGCCAGGAATTCGCCATCTACACCCAATACTGCAACAATTACCCCAGGTGAGTGAGTGGAGGACGTGGGGGGGGGCAGGGGTGCGAGCAGGGGGCTGAGCCCCGCTCCCTGCCCGCAGCTCGGCGGCGGCGCTGTCCGAGTGCATGAGGAGCAAACCGCAGGCTCGGCTTCCCCGCGCGTGCCAGAAGCGCTGCGGCACGCGCTGCCCCTTGGTGCCTACCTGCTCAAGCCCGTCCAGAGGATCCTCAAATACCATCTGCTGCTCCAGGTGAGCCACGTGGCATGGTGTAGGCACCCAGCAGGGTACCGGCACCCAGCAGGGTACCAGCACCCAGCACGGTCTATGGGCATGGCATGACGTGGGGATGTGGGAGAGGATGAGTTGGTGGCACAGTTCATGGGGGGAGCTCATGGCATAGCACAGGCACTTGGCACTATTTAGGGCATGGCACAACGCAGGCACCCAGCACAGCACATCAGCACACTCTGGCACAGCCTGGTCCCCTGATAACTGCATGGGCACACGGTGTTGTCCAGGCACCTGGCATGATGTGAGCTCCTGACACAGAACAGGCTGGGCTCTTGGCATGGGATAGCTCCCTGACATAGCCTGGTTCTCCAACATGGCACGGGCACCCTTTGGCACAGCCCAGTCCCCTGGCATGGTACAACCCCCAGCACTGGGCACTACAACCCCGTTGGTGCTGCCCCACCACCACGTCCTTTGCCGGCAGGAGATCGCCAAGAACTTTGAGCACAAGTCGGGGGATGACTACGAGGTGGTGCTGGAGGCCATCGACACCATGACCTGCGTCGCCTGGTACATCAATGACATGAAGCGCAAGCACGAACACGCCATTCGCCAGCAGGTCTGTGCCAGTGGTGCGGTGGATGGCACCGGACGGGCACTGCCACGGCGGTGGTTGGCCTGATGTGCCTGTCCCGGTGACCCATGCAGGAGATCCAGTCACTGCTGCTGGGCTGGAAGGGGCCAGACCTGACCAGCTATGGGGAACTGGTGCTGGAGGGCACCTTCCGGGTGCAGCGGGTGCGCCACGAGCGCGCCGTCTTCCTCTTTGACAAGACTCTCCTCATCACTAAGCGCCGCGGCGACCACTACATCTACAAGAGCCACATCCCGGTGAGTGCCAGGACTGTGGGACCAGGGATTGCAAGGGATGGAGAGCCTGGGGGGTGCAGGGGATGGGGGCACTCGGATGCTGGGGATGGGGGAGCCCAGAGGGTGGTGGGGATGAGGGACCTGTGGGGGTGCCTGGGGTGCTGATGGCCTCTCCCTGCAGTGCTCCTCGCTGATGCTGATCGAGAGCACACGGGACTCACTCTGCTTCAGCCTGGCTCACTACAAGCATGGGAAGCAGCAGCACAGCCTGCAGGTAGGGGGACACAGGGTGGAGGGCACCCTAGGGACCCCCCTACCCGACCTCACTGCCTTCCCTGTCATCCCCTTCCCCAGGCCAAGAGCGTGGAGGAGAAGCGTGTGTGGACCCACCACATCAAACGGCTCATCCTGGAGAACCACCATGCCATTGTTCCCCAAAAGGTGAGGGCAGAGGGAGACAGGCACCACACTGGCACCAGGGTCTCCCCAGCACAGTGAGGAGGGAGTGGCTGCACCCTAGCTTCACCCCTCATCTCTCTCCATCTTCCCTCTGTCCCAGGCTAAGGAAGCCATCCTGGAGATGGACTTGTTCTGTGAGTGCCACCAGCGCCTCGTGGTCCCCTTCCTGCCCTCGCCTGTCCCCTCTGTCCCCCAGCATCACCTCCTGTGCCCGCAGACCCCCCGCGCCTTCCCCCCTGC